CCCAAAACCCCAAAACCCCAAAACCCCAAAACCCCGGGGATGAGGGTGAGGATTGGCACTGTAGAGATTAGTAAAATAAGATATGGTCAAGCTGGTATTTTCGGAATAGCTCTAACAAAGAGCTATCAGGAAATAAAGTGTGTCTTATCCTGATTGTTTTAATGTTGTTCTTGAAATCTTCAGATTTGGATAATCCGTTGATGAGGTTGTCTAAGTAGTTTAGTTTAGTATCTTTGTCGAGGTTTGGATTGCTCCAGTATTCTTCGATGTTAAGTCCTTTGAGTTCACATTTTTCTAGGGCTCTGGAGAAGTTAGGAACTGTGTCAAGCTCTAATTCGCATTGCTTTAAATGGATTAAATTTTTGTTTTTAAAAAGAACAAAGATTCTTTTGAGTTGCTTCTGGCTGATCTGAAATTTATCTAACAATATTCATTGAGCAATTTTCGAGGAAATTTTCTGTAAATCCCGAAAAATAAACCCAAATTTGGTCATTTTTGGAGCAAAAGAATTTGACTCGAGTCTGAGAAAAAAACATGTCTCAACTTGATCTGGAAATTTTTTTTCAAGAAAGGCTTTAATCAACCCCACTTTTCTTCTTGTGAATGCTAAATTTAGTTGATTTCACTTTGGAATATTAAATTTATATCGTGTCATAAGCTTTGTATCTTGATAATTATATGTCTTTATCCTCATTATCTTAGCATAGTTTTGTTCAGGCATTTCCCCGAATATTGGTAACTCCTTTGCTTTCATTAATTCTAAATTGAATGATGTTTTAATATCCATAGTTTATTTTTACTAAAATATATTGAAAGATATGGGATTTGTAAACTTACTTATAACTCCAAATCATTTACTTCTTGGACTGTACATCTTTCAATAGCTAAGTGTAAAAGATGTTTGGTTTTTGCTATCATTGACTTAAAATAATTTATTCTTTCTCTTAGATCCCTAATTCGACTTTGGTCGGAGATAGATGAATAATTATCTTCAGTCCCTCATCTACCACAAGTCCACTCAACACAGAATTGAGCAAAGCCAGAATCTTGGCTAAGTCCTTGTAGCAAGGATTGTTGAACTCCCTTCTGCTTCATATATTCGATCACTTGCAAAGTTCTGTGATTTTTTTGTATCTCTGGCGAGTCAGTTTCTAAAATATCCATTTCTTTATTTATTTTATAAACTTTCATCTAATCTTGAAGAAAGGGGTTTTGGGGTTTTGGGGTTTTGGGGTTTTGGGG